ACCCCACCCAGTGACTTGACCACCCAGTCTTTTAGTTGTGTAGTTCGAATTGTATGTGTATACGCGAAGGCTGTGTATGCTTCGTGTATCTATGTATGAAGATGTGCAGACAACACTATGTGTGGAAACTTGTGTATGTAGCCGGTAGGCCATGTATAATTCGCAAGCTTGTATATGCCCGAAGGCTGTGTGTGCTCTGTGAAGCAATGTATCGAGATGTATTGGCAGCATCATGTGTGTATATCGAAGAGAGAACGGGGTAAGCTGGACAGGGACCCCCCCAAGATCCGACCCTAGCTCGAACCCGTGACCTTGAAACATGTAATCGTAGGCTAGTGGAAATGGCACGAAAGTGTGATATGCCAGACTGGGAGATCAACAGAACACCCAAGACCAACACCCCCAAGCAACCCATGTGAAACCCAGACACCAACATACAACATCATGAACAACCCTTGGGTGGTGCGCAGGCAGTGTCTGTAATAGTACCATGCGTCAGCCCAAGGGAGTGTGTCCAGCCGTGTGTCAATCTAACACCCTGCCAGTGTTCATGCGCAAGGTTGCAATTGAGTTTTGAACCCGCAACCTCATACCACAATGCGCATTTCCATCCGGTGATCTAACCAAGTGATCGAGGTAAGTTCAGTACAACTCTCGGTTTACCTATGCTAAGAACCATGGATCAAATCTTACCGCAATAATAATATACCTAGGCTACCGCCCGGGCCGCTCGGGTCACCCTATTTTCGTGGGCGGTCTGGCCTTGCAAGGAGTCTAAGGACCAGGGAAGGTTCAAAGCAAAAAAAAAAAAAAAAAAGTATGTTATGCCGGAAACTAAATTCGTTACCAGATTTAAAATGAAAAATAAAGTTTAAAAATGTTTTTTTTTTTTTTTTTTTTTTTTTGCCCGGTCGTGCAAGTGGTCCCGGTCCACTCCGGTAGCCTAATAAACTACATAATATCTTTGCCTCTATTCATAGGTCTGAGGTTCCAATCAGAGAGGGGAAGCAAAAATACAGAAAGAAATCCAAGTGGAACCTAGGCTCGGCAAGTCCCATAAAGTTTAGTTTTATATTTCCCGTGGAATGAAAGGGACAAAAAAAAAGCTGATACTTTCGTTCTGGGTAGTAGTCCTCCACAGAATGAATCTTGCCGCTAAAACGGTGACATTATGAATGTTGTTGTTTTGTTTTTTTTTCTTAGTGGGCAAATTTCGTGATCTGGTTAAGCTGTGTTTCCTCATAGGATTGTAACCCTGATCACAATTGCACTTACAAGAATGTATCGAGCCAATTTAACGGTCGAATCTGTCTTTCCTTTTTTTCCCTTAATTCTTTCTCTTTCTAGAATCTGACAGGGGATTCGGTGATCTGCCAAAGCTCTGTTTCCTCAGAGGATTGTAACCCTGATCATAGTGGCACTTAGAGGACTGTATCGAGCCAATCTCATGGTGGAACCCGTCTTTCTTTTTTTTTCCCTTTTTTCTCTTTTTTGGAATCTGACAAAGGATTCCGTGATCTATTGAAGCTTTGTTTCCTCATAGGATTGCAACCCTGATCACACTGGCACTTATAGGAATGTATTGAGCCAACTTGACAGCCGAATCCGTCTATCCTTTTATTTTCCCTCTTCTTTCTCTTTCGGGAATCTGACAACCTGAGATGTGAAACACCATGCATTAGACATAGCTAAGCGTTTAAAACACTCAAAGCCCATAGAGGAACAAGAAGAGACAGAGGAAGGAGGAAGAAGAAGAAGAAAGATAGAAGAAAAAGAACCCCGAGCGCATCAGCTCATGATATTGCAATAAGCGCACCGAAAAAAACAGCGGTCATCCATAAAGGCATCGCGCCGTTGACATGAAGAACACTCGCAGTAACCCGACAGCTGTTTCGGCCGACAGCCAGTAAGCCGGCTCTCCTCAGGGGTTGCGCTTGGTATGGAAAAAGAAGAAGTAGTAGTAGATATACTAATCGATTCGTAGACAGACTAAAAATAAAGCCTACAAAAGGACCATTGGGAGACAAGTTACCCGAAGCTCAGAAAAAGTGGTTGCCAGGCCTACCAGTGAATCCAACCGGTAAAACAAGCAACCCAGGGGGACCAGACCCCACCAATTCGATTATTAAACTGTACTAGGGCCTTATCGAAAAAGCAGTCCGGAAAATGCCGACGACGAAGTTCAACCTTCAGACTGAACAAAAACAGAGTCTCGGACACTGGCAATGTGCCCATAGCATACACTCGATGCAAAAAGGATGAAATAACTACTAACTTCTGCTCTTTGCTACAAAAAAAATGATAATCCTGCAAGTTTTGAAAGGTCAACCCTCGACCATCCAGAATACAGTCTTGGTTCTTGTGCAAGGCCTGACAGTACACCCGTGAAGGCTTATTGCCTAGAAGAATGCGGCAACCCAAGTATGGCCATTCACCGGTGCTCGACGTTCGTTCCGACACCAAGTGCTCATCATAACAATTTGTCTCGAATCTAGTGAAAATGTCTTCAACTGTATTAGCGGTCTGTGGATCACTACGACTACGTCTAATAAACAATGAAACGTCATCAATTAGTCTACATCCCTTCAATCTCTTTGCATCATTACCCAAACTCTTCAAAAAGGTATACTCGCTATGTATGCACATCAAACACGCCAATGCTAGGCTTGAGGATTTCCCCATTGGTATCCCCATATTCTGTTTCATCACCCGTCCCATTGACATAGTGAACGTATTCCTCAAGTCGAAAGCTACAAAACGGATCAACAGTGAAAACCTAACCGATTTACACCCAACCTCACTAATAGCCATACGGCTCAGACGAACCTTTTTCTACGAGCGCAATATAGGAACTTAAAGAATCCTTTCTCTTCAAAAAGACTGACTGCCCATTCAACTGCTGACAGAATTGCGACATGAGGTAGCTGACAGAACATCTCTTTTACATCGTAACTACGGCCAACAATCTCTTTATCTTGACCCACACCTTTATTAACCACTTCTAAAAAGGAGGGCAACAGCTGTGTACTGCTAAGATTAAAATGACTAGCCCTCGAAATCCTTTTAATTAATTCATTAACACATGCGGAAGTAACTTGTGCTGATTTACGGCTAGGTTCAGACCATGAAGGGCAAATCGGATGCCACTTCCTCACGTCTTTATGTTTGGGAAGAACATATGAACGACCCAGTTTCCCACTCGTTTCCCATCACGCCAGTTGCTGCAACTTTGCTTTTTTGTACTCCTTACCACAATTGGTTAAGACCTTCTTCTCATCATCCTCAATTATAGTCAGACCTGTATTATCTACAAACAACTTACGAAGACCCTGCCTATAAACAATAGGGCAACAAGCAAAAGTGTCACCCATATTATGATCCAGAGGACATATTACCAACCCATCGAAACGATTCTTCCATTCCAGAATCTTCTTCTCGGAAAAGGAGAAGTCCGTTGATGTAGCCTTATGACATGAAAGGCACCCTTAGAGCAAGAACTTTGAAAAACAAAAATCCTTCCTAAAAAACTGAGAGAGTGAGGAGCTTATCTGTTTACAGAGATTAAAATTATCAACATCGTATCTAGGTAATACTATATTTTTAGTAATGCGTAAGAATTCGGGAATAAACGGGGCATGACTAAACCTAAATGAAATATGACCGTCAACCCGTGCATATTGTGTATCAAGCCTGGAACACACACACGTATGATCAGATACAGCTGTAAAAGCTCTAAAATTGTAAATCAAATCCCTGATGGACCTATTCTTGGTCCAAACAAGCCTAAGACGGCGATAGACTAAATCGAGGTAAGAAGAAGGTAAGTCCAGACTACGAATAGCAACGCGACATTCATCCCGAATCTTATCCTTAACAAGACAACAATCATATCTCACTTTGACCACGAGTTTGGCAGAAAGACAGAACCCAAATTTCTTCCTACATACCTGAGACAAAATTATTTTGAGCGTTGATCGAGATCTTTTACAGGAAATGGATCGGACAGCGTCATACGCTTGAATAAGGTGGTCAAGGTCCCAACTAACTAGCGACTTCCGAGAAGATCGGATGCTCAACAGTTGAACAGGAGAATTTTTCATAGATAGAGATTTAGAACAGAACCGAGACAATTTGTGGACAATAAGAGTGGCATCTTTACGGAAACATGAACGACAGGTTTTTAACAAGGACACAGGTAGAAGGTCAGTGGACAAGGTTGACGAACCAAAGAGGCGACGAACCAGTTTCCAAGAGTCAGAGAAGGTTTGACTAGACATAATCGAAATCGAGAATGGGGTAGCAATATCTAGATCAAGAGCATACTTAAGAATATGAATAAGACTAACAGAGGTACAACCAAAGGAAGAACGGAAGACAAAAGGAAGACGTGGATTGTTCAAGGTAGGTATATTAGTCGTGGGGTGATTGGAAAGAGAAGGAGAAGGAAAAGAAGAAGAAGGAACATGGGGAGGTGGATAGACAGTAGAGGAACGATGAGTGTTATGATGACGTTCTTTCTTTCCTTTCCGTCAGCAAATACCACGAGACTTCCTTCTACCAATATAGTTAAGAGATGGACTGAATGTTTTAATGAAGTATGTTTCCGAAGCGAGTAGATCCGCTTGGCTACACGAGAATAGAGGAAGTGCAATATAGCTATTCAATCCTACTCTACGAAGCCAGCGATACAATTTTCGGTTACCACGATTCTTACCAGTAGCCAAGACAGCGGATACATGTTCCTTCCAACGAAAACCCAGAGACCTCGAAGTACAACCAATGTAGACATGACGATGCCAAGGAGAGAGTAGGGCATAAACAACTGGACCAGGGCAAGAAGAAAAATCATAATTAGCACTAATTAGGGAGGAGAGAAGAAATCCAAACTTAGCTCCCAATCTGATGTCACCATAAATAATCAAAAGAATAATAACCAGACGAAAAATATTACCGATCTGATCATAGGGTAGATAGTCACGACAGAAGAGCGCCAAGCTGCGAAGATAAGATACGCTCAGGGCGCGTCCTCACACATCTTATATCTCCTCAGCAGAGGTGGCGTAACCCTGATTGTTATCCTCCTCCTCCCCATTCCCTTTGCGAGTACGGAGCCAGTCGTCATAGTCCTGACGAGCTCGTATCTCCGCAACATCCATCTTGGCTTGATCAAGCTCGATATAGGAAATTCCTTCATCCTGGCAGCACTTCTCCAGATCAGCTTTCTTGCCTGTTCGTAATTCTTTTTGCCGTTTGTCACGAAAACGGTTCATCATGGCCTCCTCCAGTTCACGTGCGACATCAGTGACCGGTTGATCCTCCCCTGATGCCTTTGGCTGTTCATCCTCCTTATCTTCATCTGAGTCAACATGAACAGCATTCATAGAAGTCTTCAGATTCCTCGGAGTGCTTCTTCTTACCGCCATCTTGCGTGTTGATAGGCGATACTTCGAAGCACCCATCTGGGCCATACGTTCCTTACACGCCTCCGCTTCTCGGAGAGCCATTTCCTTGGCTGCAAGCGCATCCTTGTACTCTTTTTGCAAGGCTGAAAGGTCCTTGGGCGTGTACATCGCGCTAGTACCTACTAGCAGTTGAGATTGAGACTGCGGCTGAGCTTGAGGCTGGGTTTCAGCACAAGGCTTGCCACGCAATGGCGCTTCCGGTGGACTTGTCTCCACCACACCTGATGAGGAACGCTTGCCATCCTGACGGATAGAGACGATCTCATCTCTGAGATCTTTAAACTCCGCCCGTAGATGTTGGTTCTCGGCCTTCAGCGCTGGTAGCTCAGAGTTTTTTTCTTCCAGGGCCTTCCGGAACCCATTCAATTCAGCAACCTGAAGCTTCAGCGCCAAGCCTTCGTCGCTACCCTTGTCGGCTGGTGGACCATTAATCTTCATCTTTAACTCGTCAATTTCCCTGCGGAGCCGGGACTCTTCAGTACTTTGGTTGTGTGCTTCGAGCAACGCCTCCTTTTCCTTACGCAAGGTATCAAGACTAAGCGACGATGTCGAAGATGATGCAGTAGTTCCACATCTTGATTTCAAATCTTCCAACTCTCTTCGTAACTTGCCAACCTCAGTCTCTTCTTCACCAGGAAGGTCAACTTTCCTCCCCAGCGCAGACTCACACACAACCTTCATACTTGAACGCACTATTTGTCCCAATCTTGCCTCCTGAAGCTCACGTTCTTTCTTCTCTTCCACACGTTTCGGTGCTTCCTCCTGCAATCTCTTCTTTTCTTGCTCCAAAGATGCCAGCTGAGCTGTCTCACGTTTCCTCTGCTCCCGCTCATCAGCCTGTTCAGCTAACAAGCCGTAGATCTTGTTGAACCTATCGTCGTTATCCCTCTCCCGATAACCTCCGTTCCAGTTCCTCGAATATCGTTGACCACCATTGTAGTTGCTGTTAAAACCTCCTCCATTGCCGTAACCACCATTGGACTGTCCATTCCCACCTGCATAACCCCTATTCTGAGGGGCTTGGTAGGGCACAATCGCATTCGAAATAGCCGCTCCTCGTGTCGGTGCCGAAAGAATCCCGCCATTACCTGAAGACGAAGGCAGATCACCTCCTGATCACTCATTCCGAATATTAGCCGCCATCTCAGCCCCATTAGGCTGATTACGAAAGGGGCATTCCCTGATGAAATGACCCGGCAGCTGGCAGAAATGACACAAAGAACGCCTATACATAGTGACACCGAGGACTAAGCACGTCCTCAAGAATCTCCTCAGCGCGAAGAAGGAACAAAGGAAAGAAGAAGAAGGGAATAGATAAAAAAGGAAAAGAAGATGAAGAAGTATAACTAAAAAGTGTCGCGATAAGACCAAGGACATAGTCACTCGACCGGGTAAGAATCCCGTCGGTTGTCTATGTGTATGTCGCAGATGTGAAACACCATGCATTAGACATAGCTAAGCGTTTAAAACACTCAAAGCCAATAGAGGAACAAGAAGAGACAGAGGAAGGAGGAAGAAGAAGAAGAAAGATAGAAGAAAAAGAACCCCGAGCGCATCGGCTCATGATATTGCAATAAGCGCACCGAGAAAAACAGCGGTCAGCCATAAAGGCATCGCGCCGTTGACATGAAGAACACTGGCAGTAACCCGACAGCTGTTTCGGCCGACAGCCAGTAAGCCGGCTCTCCTCAGGGGCCGCGCTTGGTATGGAAAAAGAAGAAGTACTAGTAGATATACTAATCAATTCGTAGACAGACTAAAAATAAAGCCTACAAAAGGACCATTGGGAGACAAGTTACCCGAAGCTCAGAAAAAGTGGTTGCCAGGCCTACCAGTGAATCCAACCGGTAAAACAAGCAACCCAGGGGGACCAGACCCCAACAATTCGATTATTAAACTGTACTAGGGCCTTATCGAAAAAGACTGTCCGGAAAATGCCGATGACGAAGTTCAACCTTCAGACTGAACAAAAACAGAGCCTCGGACACTGACAACCTGGCCACGGGGCTGAGAGGCCCTCAATGAGGGCGCACTGAACTGCATTTCATGACCGAAGATTTTTTTTTTCTTTTTTCCCCTTCTTTTGCGAGTTTCATGGCTGTGACTTTTCTTTTCTGTGAAAATACCCTATACCCTAACCATTAGGGGCAAGGGGCAACATGAAATCTCCCCTTCACAGAGAGAGGAAAACTATGCTTGCAGGGGTCCCCAACCCTATACCAGAACCATTAGGGGCAAGGGGCAACATGAAATCTCCCCTTCACAGAGAGAGGAAAACTATGCTTGCAGGGGTCCCCTCTAGATAGTCTTAGGAGTAGGTAGTGGAAGGTAAACAAACAGAAGTTGAGAGAAGAATATAGACAGTTTAAAAAAAAAAATAAAAAAAAAAATGGAGTGGGACTCGTGGGAGAATCATAGTATACCAAAAAAAAAAAAAAAAAAAAGTACCATAGTATCATGGATAGGACTCATACGACAAGCCGTAGAGCAAGTCCAGAACAAGTCAACACTCGTAGGCACAAGTGAGACAAGTCAAGACATAGTGTGTCAAAAAGCAAAACCTCGAAAATTACGGCAATCCGTCCGAACATTCCTCAACCCCAGGAACCGCCGAGTCCTTTCTCAAGACCCTACGTCCGCCTCTGCAAACGGATTGGACGAACCGTAAGAGGTCGAGTGTATTGCTACCACACTAGTTATAGGATAGTCGCACTGTCCGACAAAAGGTGCGCCCCGCCCTTGCTTCTGGTCAAACCGGAGAACAATCGGGGTTTCCCTACCGCAAGCCTACTGACCTTTCTCACGAGTCAAACGCGACCGCTAGCAGCTAGTCTCCTGCGTACTGCTCCGAAAATCGATACACACAGTGTACCATCACAGGGTAAGCCTACGGTTTGAAACCCAGAGCACTATGCTGCAACTCAGGGTTACCGGTAAGCAAACACCACGAGACAAAAGAAAAATGAAAATTACCCGTTACTGGCAACGGTTCGAACCCAGCTGGTGTCACACTTGTCCGCTAGAACATCCAAATGCTGAAGGGCAGAACAAACGGCAATCATGCCAGGAAAACAACTGAACAAACTAAACAAACTAAAACCACAGAACAGAGACGCAGTCCAAAAACAAAAACAAAACATTTCAAGCAAAACTCAGCCAAAAAAAAAACTCGGCCAAAAAATCAGTATTGCTAAATTGTGCTAACCATGGGACTGCCCTGGCCGAAAAAAAACTCGTGGGACTCAGGCTCGGCACTGAACTGCATTTCACGACCGAAGTTTTTTTTTTTTTTTTCCCTTCTTTTGTGAGTTTCATGGCTGTGACTTTTTTTTTCTGTGAAAATACGAGAAACAAAAATGGAGTGGGACTCGTGGGACTCAGGCTCGGCAAAATTCAGAGCGCAGTGAAATGCAGGGTAGACAAAAACAGGCTCGGTGGTACTAGTGGTTTAAGTCGGAAGTTCAAAGTGTGGCGAGATAGTATTAACGCAGGGCCAAGTTCCATGTTCTATCCTTCACAACGGGCAAGAAGTGACTATCCATACTCCACCCCAGTTCCCATTGTAGATCAGGGGATTGAAACTAAGGGAGCAAGTGGGCAGGAAGATAGAGAGACAGGGGGACAAGGAGAGAAAGTGTGTGTGTGTGTGTGTGTATGTGTGTGTGTGTGTGTGTGTGTGTGTGTGTGTGTGTG